TTCAAATTCCGGAAGTGACAATTCCCTAAGCAGATCGAGCATTGCCTTGTCCAACCTGTTGCATAGCTCTGTCACCGAGTGTGCCGCCAAGGTCAGGAAAATACATCCAATTTCCGGCTGCACATGCCCTGCGCGAATATAAGGAGCATTTCCTCGAATCTTTCCCTGATTGGAAAAGGTCACATTAATCCGATTTCGGATTGCCTCAATATCGACACCCTCTGGCAGGGCAACCTTCTTTCGAGTGGCGAAGCGCATGGTGATGTGCCTCCCTCTAGCATTCGGGGTTGGCGATGAGCGCGGCGGCAGTGGTACCGAGTTTAGTGGGTTTGGAGGTCCCATTGGTACCCGTCTGTATTCATGCCGTGTCTGAGTCGCGCCTACCTTGACGCTGGCCAGGGCAGCTGGTCCGGATTGAGCTGCCGTAGTAGCAGGTACCACAACCTTCGTAGCCGATTCCTGTTTATCAGCCTTCCCCTGAGTCTTGGCCAGGGTCGCCGCCTCTTTTTCTTCACCAGCCTCTCTGGCAGCCTTTCTTCTCCTCCTGGCACCACCACTCAGGCGTTTGCCACGCTTCCTCTGTTTTGTCTTTTCATCTTCCTCTACCCCTTCCTCCTCTTCCCATTGAACCGACTTGCCTTCACCTCCTCGGTCTACCCGCAAGACTACCCCCCCTTCACTAGAGGAGCTGCCACTGCTGCTGGACTGGTATGATGAGGCTGCTGATACAGGTCTGGCAGGACGTACCCGTTCCTGCGGGCCAGCGGGGGGCTTGGGCACGTATGCCATTCGTTTTACTACCTCTGTAAAAGAGGCCTTAGCAGTAGGAGCCTCATTAGAGGCCTCCTTTCTCTCAGGGGTAGCGGATGGTAGAGTAAGCTCCGACGAAACATCGGAGGTACTATGAGGTACAGCTGGTGAGGAGCGGCGGCGCGGGGATAACCTCATTTGAAGAGCTTCAATTTCCTCCCCTTGCCTACCAACAATGTCGGTCAGTGCTTTTACTGCCCGTTCCAAGACATGAACTCGGCTCCAGTAGTTTATCCCGTTCCTTGGACCTTCATTGTCAAAGGTGGGGCCACTGTTCATCCAAGTTCGTACGTCCTGTACTGTGTCATCTTCAATCGACCCAGACTCCGAGGAAAGGAGAGGCTGAGTATTACCAGACCGGATGTCCTCCAGACCTTCCAACATGGATCCGATTATACTACCTGAGCGGGGTCCAGAAGAGGGGGTCCTTCCAGCGTCTAGCATCTCACAGACACCTGCCATAATTGAGTCCGCCTGGACTACCACAGCGTCGGCGTCCTCTGGTTGGGTTTCTGGGAGCAGAACTTCCAGTGGTGTTGAACCTCCACTAGGGGCTTCTGAGGAACCCTCTAGTTGGCCTCCAGGAGGTGACACCCATCGTCCAGTAATAGGCGGAGGTGATGAACCCATGGCTGGTAAATGGACGTGTAAGCTGTCGCCCAAACCAGTCGCTTCCAAGTTGCGCCCGTCATCCAGCTCCATAGGGGTATCCCTAGCCAGCACCTCAGAAGTGGGTAGGACATCCTCAGTCATCAGCGGCGACGGAGAGAGGAGTGTAGCCTTGATTGTTGATGGGAGCACCACAGGCAGAGGGATGGCCAGGCATCCATGGTGAATCCCTAGGGGTAGGCCGGGAAGAGCGGGGACAATCTGTTTTTTCCGTCCCTCATCAACGTTGATAGCCCTCAAAAATTGGGAACCAAGGAGAGGAGCAGCAGATCGCTTAATGGGAGATGCCGACTGTGTCCGGCAGCGTGTTCCAGAGGCAGGAGGGTTGTAATCCTCATCATCAGGGTCGTCTAGCTTGAACTTCGGGGTTTCGTAAAGAGCCCTTTCGCCTGAAGACATTCCTGCCAGAAAGGAGGGAGTCGAGGAGCCGGTCCCGGTATTGTGGGCCTGGCGGAAGAAGCTGGGCATCTTGCTTTGGACAGCCCTAGCGAGGGGAGGAGTAGCGGACCAAGAGCTGGCCTCAACCGTGGTGGCAGTCGAGTTGTCCTTGGCGGGGGGAACGGAGGATTCAGGGACTACAGCCTGAGAATCTTTAGGAGGGGAAGGTGCGGGGGCCGGAGAGTATTCTGAGCCACGGTCCGAGTTGAACCGAACGAAGAGCCCTGTGGTAGTGTCTTTGCTCAAGCCACATGTGGCTCAACAGCCTCTCCCGATCAGGAAACCTCTCACCAAAACCTCCACTTCTTTCATCGTGGCAACGGTCGCGTCAGCGACCGTTTGCCGGACCAAATCATCAAACTGCGGGTTCACCGCGTTCTGACACCCGTGGCAGTGTTGGAACTGTAAAAACTTAAAGTTTCCTTTGGGTGCAATATAAGACCGTGTGGTTGTAGGGATGAGGCTACGGTCGGCCTCAGTAGCAGGCGTAAGAGACAGGGCTGCACGGGCCTTCTCAAACGAGGAGGAGGAGTTGGAGTCGAACCGAACGGGGGACGACATCCTCGAAGGGGGGGGAGAATCCGTAGAGGAGGAGGCTGTCGAAGACGCCATCCTCGCCCAAACTGTACTCAGTGATTACCGGGACCAGGCCACGGATATCTCACATTGAAGTATCTTCTAAGCGAGAACAACAACTTCTAACCGACTGCCCGAAACGCAAAACACAAACAAGTAACAGTAGATGAAGTATTTATCGCGAGCGTAATAAGGTAAAGTATTGGTTATGCTCACTTCCAACACGGAGTGCAAGAAGTAGGAAAAGTACTTAGAACAAAGCGTGAAGAACCTATCTTCCTCAGCCACATCGGCCTCCTTATATAGTATTCTTCCCACCCGTAGTCATGTGACCTAAAGTGGTCACATGTGCAAAACCAATCTCATAACAAACTAGTCATGTGACCAAAGTGATCACATGCTCAAAACCCATGACCTCATAGTGAGGTCATGTACAAAAACTCATAAACCAATCATAACACAATAAACAAGTCATATGACTCAACTGAGTCATATGCGGGAAACCCATGACCTCATAATGAGGTCATGTGCGAAACATAAATCATATGCGCAAGGCTTACCCGCAAGGCACACTCGCAAGGCATACTCGTCAGGCGCATGTCCCATGACTCATACTTGAGCCATGTGCGAAAGCATCACAAATCCCACACATAACAAATCATATAACCCAAATGAGTCATATGCACAAAACAATAACATACCTGTGACTCATAACCATGTATCACGTGAAAACCTTTTTCATGCTAAGCCACGTTCGTGACACTGTGACAAAAAGGAGTAAATGTTTGTCCAATAATTACTGCATTAGCTTTGTTGGCATGTCAAAAATGTATTTCCATGGTAGTATACCATACTTCCATTAAAAGATTAATGATGGAAAGCTTCCATGCATTTCTCTATACCTGGTTCATAACCTCGACTGCATTTGATGTTTTTTGCCCATATCGCCAAGAAGGTCCCCCAGGAATAAAGGCTGAGATCCACATCCGAGAGTCTATTCCTTCCAAATAGACTGCTGCTGAGAACTTTTCTAATCGTAGTAGTGTAATGGCTGTCTGGTATTCATCTATCGTTGTTGAATTGGCAATACACCAGAATAAACCTTCATATTCCCTTGAATATGATTTGATGAAATTTCAACACAAATACTCTAAACAAAAAAGTCTAACAACATTATTGCCAAGTATATCTTTAGCAGCTAGAAGACCTTTATCCCTATTACTAATAATACTAGCATCCAAGATCTGTGGAATAGCATCCTTAAGGTAATCAAGAAACCATCTCCAGGACTCTGTATTCTCACTTTCTACAACTGCCCAAGCAAGAAGTAAATAGTGGTTATTGGCATCAATACATGCTGCAAGGAGGAGGATTTGTTGGAAGTGTGCCTTTAAAAATATACTGTCCAGAGCAATAAATTTCCATGCTTGCATAAAAGAAAGTTGAGACTCAGCAGGACAAATAAAAACACATCAAAAAAAGGCTGTATTTTCCTCCAACCGATATCCCGTTACAAGAAGGGCAGTTGTAACATAAGGGCTTTGCTCTCGAAGTGTTTGCAAGTATGCTGGTAGGAGCTCAAACTGTCGTGCTTGCTCATCAGCCTGAGCATTGACTAATTTCATCTTAACCTCATGTGCTGCCTGATATCTGATTTGCTCTCCATGATGAAGCCGAACCGCGTTGACAATATCGATTGGTTTAGTGGTACGAGAAACGATTATCAGGTTGGGAACCTCGCGTAACAACCATGACTGACGATTTGCTGTTTAATGCGATTGTATCCCCGCACCTAAACGTGCATGCTCAACATGAAAAATCCGTACCCTCACACTTCCATCCTTCTCAGTTGCATAGAGTCTCCACGGACATCCATCGCGCTTTGCTGCACACCAGTAATCAACGCGTTGTTTATCACTTAGTTGTGTTCGAAGGGCAAACTTTTGCTGAATGGACAAGTCCTGTACCGCACTCCGAAGGTCTTAAAACGAGGTAAATTGCTGGCCGACTTCGATCATTTTTGCTTCAATTATCGTATCGTGTTTGTTTGTGGTGTTTGGTTTTTCTTTCTCCTATTTACTTTGAATCTACCCCTTATTTTTTTATTTACTACTCCACTGACTCTCCCAATTGTCTCTCTACGTAAAAGACTAACCAAAGTACTCTTAGGATCTCTCTTGCGCTGACCTCTGAGACCATAGGTCCAAGTTTACCTCCCAGTCATGGTATGTCATGGTATTTTAAACTTAGACCCCTGTTTTTCATGGTATTTTAAACGATCGCTCGGTTTCTATACATCTTGTTCATCAGATTATTAAAATCCATCTTGTGGTACACTTGTTAGCTTAAGTGGCTTAAGGTTGTCGTGGAATTGTGCCCCCCCCCTCTTCCCGCAAACGTGAATTACAGCTCCGGATTCTACATATATTACTACCAAAGAAACATGCATGAGACTCCCGGGAATAATCTCTAAAAAAAAACATTTGCACGCCTGCGTACTGGTACAGCAACCCTTGAGACATCCATTACTTTTTTCATCATTGCCCTACATAAACAAATCGATTTCTACCCCATAGCTTCAACCCCCCTTTTTTTTGTCACCCTATTACGCACCAAGACCTCTCCGCTTCTTCCCCTTCACCTTGAGGCCAGCATCGTACTGCCTCTCAAGGTCTTTCTCTCTGGTCTTGGCGGACGACGACGACAACGAAGCCGAACCATTGGCAGTTGGCACTGTTGCTGCCAAAGCACCAGCGCCAGCACCTAGCAATCGCAAGAACTTTGACTTTCGCTGATCGTCGCCGGGAAGGTCTGCTGCTACCGCGGTCCACTTGTACTCGGCTTCTCCTGCTAAGATTTCCTGGGTACCGTCAGCGTTGAGGGTTAAAATGTAGGATTGGAAAAGGCTGACCGTTTTGGATTTCTTGGATCTTTTTGCGGGTGTGGGGTCCGTGGACGAAGAGGAGGGCTCTTTAGATTTGCCCTTTTTTGGCTTTTTGTCCTTTTTTGTTTTTGTCTGTTTGGGTGGTCGGTTGGTTAGTTTGTTTTGTGGTCTGCAAGGGGAGGGCTTTGTGCAATACCTTAGATCCGGAAGTATGTTCACTGGGCCCCACATCGCCATTGACAGGTTCTTCTATTATTGCGGCTCTCCTCTTTTCCCTTTTTTCCTTCCTCTCCTTTTTGGCGGCTTTTTTGGCTTCTTTGGACAGGTCTGGGTCGTCGTTTAGTTGCTTAGATGAGCGGGCTCCGCTGGGGGAAGGGACTACTACTTCCCCTACCTCTATTGCATGCCTTTTTGCCCTTTTCGCTCTGTCGTCCCTCTTTTCTTTCTTCTTCTTGTGCTTCCGCTTCTCATCCAGGGTTGGAGCGCCATTGGTAGCGGCAGTGACGCCATTGGTCTTGCTGTCCTTGTGCCTTTTGGAGGTTTTTGGTGGTGAAGATTCGGCCGCGACAGCACCCTATGCATAATTAGCAGATGACCCCTCCCTACTTCCTAAAGGAAGGAATTCGAACCTCATCATCCCGTTTCCTCTTCCTTTCCTCCTCTTTCACACTATTCGCACAATTCTCGACTACAGCGCCACTCTTCCTCTCCTGGTTCCTCTTAAATGCTAATCTCATCTCCGCCCCCGAAAGTTGTTCCTCGGCAGGTGTAGACTCTTTAGTCCCACCATTCGCCACAGCAGGAGAACCAGCACCTTCATTAAAAACGAATCTTCGCCCAGTCGCTCGATAACCTCCCCTACCACCTCCCCTTCCACTGCCGCTACCAGCGCCCCTTCCGCCCTGACCCCAGCCTCGATCTCGGCCTCTGCCGGAGAAATCCCTCGGCGCGGGGTTCTCCCTTGCCTGGAGCATTTTGAGGCGCTCGGGGTTTATGCCGGCGAAGTTTCCCTCCGGTGACATTTTCCTTTGTTTTCCTTTTCTCCTCTAGTCGCTTCCGATAAGAGAATTGGCGGTTTTGAAAAAAAGGCTGTTGCTTGAATTAGGCTGTCTGGTGGGGGAAAAAAATGTTGCAGAATATTTTTCCTTCTGTTTTTCTGTTGGACAAGGATATGTGGCCAGGGTTCTCAGTATGGTTTGTGGTGTGCGCTAGGTGTGGGGAGAATTGAGACTGGTTATTGCGAATCAGGGACCGAAATAAGGTTATCTTATCAGATGGATCAATAGCAGAGGTCTTGGTGGTGGGTGGGATGCCAAGGGTGATCTCGCACCATGCGTCTCGGTGTCGGGGTTTACTGTGGAGGAGGGAGAAGAGGGTTTCCATCAATATCCACACCGATAGGTATCATAGATATTTGGAATAAACCCAAATTTCCCTAATAATATTATTACCCCTTCGTTCGTATGCCGAGTTTCACCGAATTTCAGCTCGAAAGATAGAGGAATACTATACTTGGCTTGAGGGGTCCCCTGATGGTGGCCCGGCCACTATACTAGTACTTGCCCGACAAACGCTAGGCCCGGCTGGTCATCCAACGGAAAGCTTTCTGGAAGAGAGGAAGGGAGAGAAGAGGCAACATGGCAGGCGGGTGCAGAGGACGAGATTTTGGATCCGTATAGTGTCATTACAATCGGGCAAACGTGAGTTGAGGGAACGTCCGGGACATGTAAATTGTTAATTTCCTAGCCAAACACCAGTAATAAACGTTTACCCAAGTATGATATCAACCTGTAAAGATCCCACTCTCGGCAAATTAACATACTATCATTATTAAGCTAGAAATAATGTCCGCCCGTTCTTAGCATCATAAATTTATCCTAGCTAAAGTACTATGTACGATAGGACAAAAAGATCCGCCAGATGCCCTTTTTACACCAAAAGTGCCCATCTTCACCACCCTCTCTCATCGCACAATGTCTATGAGAATCTGCACAAACCTGCCCATGCATGAGCAAACCTGTAGATAACATGGAGAATATTACAGAATTCCTAAATATTACAAAGTGATGGAGAAAAGGTTGTGTAAGTGTCTGATAGTTGCCATGTACGAGCTTGGCGACAAAATTCGCTGACCCTCCCCCCATTTTACACCAAAAATGGGGATTTCCGCTTTGCAAAATCACAGCTTTGTCGCTCTACAAAAAATAGGAAAATTTGCTAGCATCTTTAGAGACATCTAGACATTACTGCCCATAAGTATCAAGCTATATTAATAAGTGTCCATGGCACAATTTCATAAAGTATGAGAGTGGTCAGAAGGTACTTCTAATTTTGTATGAGTTTTCCATATAAAAAGTACATGGCAACCATGTTCAATCTGGACCTTAAGCTCCCAGCCATTATTTCACAGTGGGAAAATTCTGATAACTTTTGCCCACAAAGTCTAGGTAATTTCCTACATTATGGCATTAATTTCATCAGTGATTTATTGCTTTTGGATGAGCAGTGACTGCGTCAAATCAGCCACTTTTGGTGTAAAATGGCGTGGAGGTCAGCGAATTTTGTCGCCAAGATCGTACTTACTCTTTTGTATGGGGGCCTCATAGAAAAATTTAGGTCCATTCACACTGGTTGATGCAATCATGAACAGTGAAGACAGCTTTGATTCCTTACACTTCTGCTTTCAGAAGTTGGAATAGATAGTTACTCCCTAGCTGAGGAAACTATTTAAAGTGTTGAGAACCGTCCATTTGAAAATGTCCATTTTCGGTGTAAGAAGGGCATTGGACGAATCCTTTTTGTCCCCGTCCAGTGTCCGCTACCGGTAGAGTTCCCCGTCATAAAGCCGCATCGCGGTACGTCGCTACAGGGGTGCACGTCGGGAACAACCGATAGTCTACGCATAAGAGTTCTCAACATTTTTTATCCGCTGACAGTAACACGCGATAGACCCTCCGCCGCGTTTCGCGGCCCGAGCTGCGCACGGAGCTCCGACATTCCGATCGTGCCGAAAAAAACATGCCTCCTGACGCAACTCCAGTGGACGGGAGATTAGGTTTAGAAAGGCAACGTGATTTCCTATGCTTTCACGCATCAGTCGCGAGGCCTATCTGGGATGGTCTACTTGACTCAAGCTCCACTCCGAACACGGGACCCGTAGTCTCCCCCGACTGAATTCTCGGCATTACTTGAGGCTTTTTTCGAACCACTACCGTATCAGAATAGGGCGATGGTATCGCCGCTTTGAGGAAAAGATCAATCGACTCCTCGGGACGGTAAATTCCATTGGCCGGGTCGCCGTTGAGTGGTTGAAGCCATACTTTTTATTAGCCTAGTTTTTTGAAGATTGGAGGACTAGATACACGCTAAAAGGGTGTTTTTTTTTTGTCACCGGACAAACTAAATAAGCCTTCATCGCGTGGCATGATCATTGACTGCGAGTCGAGTACTTTTTGGCCCCAGATTTCTGATATCCTTGTGGACCTCCTTGAGTGCCCCCCCCCTTCGATACGGCCCATGCTGGTATCGGTTCTCCGGTCGAGGTAGCCTAGTATTTCCCTGTCGGGGTGGTGGAATTTTGTCTTCAAAGTTTCTTGTTATGATACTTCAAATCAGATTCTTAAATTCCGCAGCAACTATGATGACTAACTTAAACGATTACCCGGCCACGTCCCGCGCGGCTGTCGCCAACGAGGCAAAGTGCTCCTGCCATCGTGAAGGTTCCAGCAATCAACTGCGCCGTAAAATTACGGACTAGGTATCATACGCTATCAAATTGGCAGCGATTACATAGCGGATGTGACGAAGACGCTTGAATTCATGGCAGATCTAGACTAAGGGCTGCCATATGTTGGTTGAAGCCGGATCGGCAAAAAACAAGGATAATATAGAGTGAAGTCAGCAAGTAAACTCCCCCCAATACTCTCATGGGCAACAAAATCGGTGAGAGCTCTCCAGCTGTGAGACCAGCCCGACTTTCGCCCCCTCCCCGCTATCATACCAGCCAATTCGCAGAGTAACATCGTCCCCATTTTAAGAAACTTAAGGCCTGTTTGGCTAGCTGTGATTTGAGATGGCAGCGCGGTTAGTGACCATGATTTGGGATCGCGATTTGGAAATATTGCCAAGCCAACCACCCTGCTATGCCATCTCAAATCATGATTCCAAATAATGAACGTCTCAAATCACAGCCAGCCGAACACGCCCTTAATTGGCGACCTTTTACCCAGTCCAGCATGATACACAATCCTTTTTCGTCCACAGCTATCGTATGATACGGCTCTCGGATTGATGGAATAGCAACCTCATGGGAAGAAGACACCCATGTTGTGATTCCGATCTTTGAAGTGCTCGCTCGCCCCCTCCTTTTGAGTCCGTGTGGGTCTCAATGATATAAAAGCCTGTCTCTTCGTGTTGTTCTACGCCAAAGCGTTGGTTATGATTATCAACACTGCCTGGCTCGTCAGCCTCATTCGGTTTCATTTGAGGCTCGCAGAAGTACCGTTCCGTGCAAGTACGGTATCTGCGGAGATTTTACTTGAATAGGTGGCGTTGTCATCCTTTTGGGTAGGAGTGGGACACTTTGTTTGGGAATTGCCACACCAGGTGTCCCTCCTCAATTCGGCGGTGCAGGTATGATAGTCCAGAGACATGCCAAATGTTGATGCCGGGTCGGCGATACAAGGATAAATAAATTATATTGAAATGCCAAAGCAACCGACCGAGCCGACCAGAGGGCGCTCGCTACAGCTTAGATAAACATCAAGAAGCGGTATGATAGGCGAGGTCAGCGAGAAGGCGCTCCAGCCCCGATTCGGGACTTTTTTCTGGCTCTGTGTGACTCTCACACCCTCTGCGCACTCTGTATCACATTCCGTTGAGCCTTCTGCTATCATACCATCAGTGCTCGAATAGGGTTTATGTCATGAGCTATCCGCTCATAACATTTGCCGCGGGGGATGATTCATACAAGTCCCTGGGGCGAACAGGGAGGATAGATATGATATGATAACATGATAAGGGGCCAATCTCACTCATCCATCACCCACCAGCGCTGTATTAGTACGATCCCCCCAGAATCGCACTGCCGATCAACACAAGACATGCACAAAAACGCCCCCCCACCACCCAAAGCACTGAGCTATATAGCCCACCATCCTCATTGGTCGCCATGCCTACACCCACACCTAAACCCACACCTAATGCGCAAACCCCGAGACGCCGCCGCCCCGGAAGAACTCACCGACATACAGAAATTCACCATAGCCAAGACACTCTCATCACCTCTCATCACTCGCCCCAATTCCCAGCCCCCCTTTTTTGAATCGCCTGCACCCTTTTTTTTCTCGATAGAATTTAATTAAATTTTTAGGCTTATTGGGGGGTCCTTTGCTGATTGTCGGGAGTGGGCGTCGTACAGTAGATTGCCCTCCCCCCAAACCAGCTTCATACCTCATCGGCGTGTACCTTGGTACTGCACGATGGGTTGAGGAGACACGGGAGGGAGATCCGGGGCGATATTGTGGGATCGGTGTGTCTGTGAACTAATAATCTGGTATCCATAGAGAAGAGGTAAAAAGAAGAAGAAGGTATGATAGGTAACTTATTGGGTTCAATGTACCTGGCTTGTCTCAGATTTCGGAAGGAGGATTTCTACCTGGATACCGTACTTGTGTATGAACTCGAATAATTGGATGGGGGGCGAAAACACCGCAAAAAAAAAAAAAAAAAACCGACCCCCCTCAGCCTCAGCTTTGGACGAGAAGTGAAGAAATGGGGGGGGTGCCGGACCTTACTGGCAAGGGCAACTCCAACGTCCCATGATACTGTACCAGGCACGAGGCTCAATTATTCGAGCTCTAGTGGTAGGGCACTGTATCGAGTATGATATGTTTGATATAGTTATCTCAATGGGATAAATTAGAGTTTGGGGGAAGTGGATCCGGTCGGGGGTTATGGGGGAAGTGGAGGAATGGAAGGAGGATGGTCTAGCTATCCTATGCAACCACCGCTCCGATGGATACGGTAATAACTTAGTGGTAATAGCGCAGTAAGAGTATTTCGAAATCTGAACGAATAAAAAAAAAGTAAGGATGAAAAGAGAGGTCATTCCTTTCCCCTACTCGTACTATAATATTATGATATTGTAATATTCAGTTGACTTAGAACAAGCTGAGTATGATCGTCTGATAGGATTACGCGCTTCTTTTGCACTTTGGATGAGTGCGTACTGTACAAGACTTTCTCTCTCTCTCTCTATCTCACTCTACCGGTATCTCACTCTATCCCTCACTCTCTTCCCCACCCCGCACGAACGAATGGGGGGAAACGGAGGGGCTGGGAGAGCGACGATTATCGACGATTGGGGATCCGGGTTCTGCGGGGGTGATCTCACGCATGTCGCACGAACAGTACTTAACCGTATGATAGGCGAGTGGGTTTTTCTCTTGTGATATCTTGATCGGGTCTCTGGCTATCGGATGCGAGCCCTTGGGTGGACACTGCGCTCCGGGGTCGAATGATACGGTGCTCGGTCTTGGGGAATGGATGATTTGGTAGACAGGAGATACCGGCGAGGGAAGATGTCATTGTTGATACAGTACTGGCATTGTGCCAGGAGTGGAGGGTAGAGGGATAATACTGTACGAGTAGTCGCTTCTTAGAGTGACTAGGGGACAAACACATTCCTCAAGTGCCAGCGCTAGCGGAGATGACTACGATGAACAGGTAAGCACTTGTACGAGTACAAGTACGATACAGTGCCGGCACCGGCACTGCACTATGCTCTTATAAGTACTCCTTACCCACAGGCTATGTAGTGCCACTTGGCTTAGAATGATGTCCTTCAGCTCATTCGGTCCAAGCTACAGAAAACAGAAGCTCAGGCAAAGGTAAACAAGGCAGCCTCGCTTTATCCATCTCCACTCCACGGCAAAAAAGGTCACTTGTGGGGGGGAAGAAGGATAAGTTGAGGGGGTCTCTTGTGTGTATAGGAATGAGTGGATGCACGAACCGCCCGTCGGTTAAGCAGTCCCATACGCCACTTGAAACGGCCAATCCCTGTTCAAACCTCTCCTATCCAGCTTGCTACGGGCGTGACATCTTCTACGCAGACAACCGCTTCTGTCATGCAATTCTAAGAAGTTCAATCTTCACCCAACCTCTTGCATTACGAGTTTCCTGTTAACCTGCTGGTGACACCGCCACTCCTCCATCTTGCATCTTTCATCCCCCCCCCAGAAAGAGATCCCACACAGCTCTGTAAAATTGTGCACTTTTAGCACCTTACCGGTACCGGTACCCCATACCATGCTAGGCCATCCCCGGGCCAGACTCCACGGCCCATCCCCCCCTCTCATCTCGTCTTCCTGCCCGTCCCTGTTTTTCCCCATCTATCATCACCATAACCTCCCTGTCCTGTTTACCGTATCTTCGTGTCTGCGTCTGTGGGTGATTGTATGTGTGTGTTGTGCGTGTGCGCGCATACGTGTTGTGGCCTCTTCCATCTCTCTCTCCCTCTTCCTCTCTTCCCTCCCCTTTCCTCTCGTCCGTACCCAACCCGTTCTCCTACCGCATTCCCTTCCCCTACGTTGCCAGCCGTCATTGCTTCCTTGCTTTCTCCTAATAAACAAGCCTTTTACCTGTTACTCCTAATTGACACATTGTCCTGTAAATCCCTTTCTCCTCACATTGTGATTTGCTTCATCTGTGCGGACGGAAAACTCCTTGCTGACGTCCTGCTGACGTCTTGGTCTCATGCCTCATTAATCCGACCTTCCCCCTCTTCCTGAGCGCACCCCTTCTAAGTCGGGTCTGGTCCGGGCTCTTGGTTTTAACGAATCTCTTTTCCATCGAAAGAATATTCCCCTACAGAATATCCTCCGCGAGATCTGTGTGTCTGAGAGATGGGCGCTGCACAGTCTCTCCCGTCAGAGCATCGACCTGGAAATCACACCGGCACTCTTCCTCCCCGAACTAAGCTCACCAAACCTCGTACAAATTCCATCACGGTTTGTTCTCTCTCTTGCTTTGTTTGCGGGAGGTCTTAGAAAACTTCTCCTAACAGCGGGGGCAGATCACGGGGAGGAGGAGGAAAGAAACACATTGCTAAGGCCCCGTTTAGGCTCGAGACCATCCATACAGGAACAGGTTCTCTGTTTCTCAGCCGAGGGCTGCCTTGCCAGATGTCGCCCATCACTTGGGACCGGAACCTGAAGCGTTGGGGACTAAATGTACTGGGGGTGGGGGGAATCATTTAGTTGGGTCGGTTACACTCCCTGTATATGCCAATTTAGGAATAAATGCAGGACTTCAAGATCTGGAGGTGACGTGGGTTGGTGGAGGCGAACGTTCTACTGGGATTTGCGCAGTCAGGCACTCTAGGGCCAATAGTAGCGCAGGGTCCTTCACGGCGCGCAACGAACGCGATAGGACGACTGCTGCTGTTGGAACAGTTAGACGTAGATCGCAACTTCTGGCCGCACCGCCTGCAACCGCTACTAGAAGAACCAAATGTCAGAGCCTGACAATGGATTATGGGGACTACGTGGACTGTTTCTCCCAACAACCGTATGCCGCGCCTGCTGAGCTAGATGCCGGGCGTTGTACAACACCCTCGGGATATAGTGTCATTGGTGCATTTAAGCGAGGGTCTTTGAGAATCGTTAATGGTGCTGCGTCTCCGGCTCCGTCTTCTGCGCCGGCATCCCCTAGAATTTCGGCTGAAAAAGAGCCGTCTCATCAAGGCCCTGCTATATCTTGCCAGGGCTCGAATCTCGGGCTGGCGCGAGGAGTGCATCGAGCTAGGAGCCTGGAGTCGATCGCCCCTTTTCGCGGGGTTCGCTTGGTGCCTTCATCGCCAAGGGTTACGGGGCAGGATTTGGAGGATGGGGTTCCGGAAAGTCCTTTCAGTTTTGCCCAGAGTCCGACATTCGAACCAGGCACAGATACAATGCCGGATCTAGATTTGGGTCCCAATGTGGAATACCCGGATTCTGTTTTTCAAGAGGAAGTCAATTTCTATGATGCGTTTGAGAGCCTACCCATATACGATGACGATAACGACGACGAACCTGTTCCTCTGTCAGAACGAGAACAGGCTAGCGGAGGTGTCCCTTTGGGGTCACGACTCGATTCTCGACTTGCCCTGGAACGACCAAACCTCCAAGACTGCGATGGGTGTAGTGGGGCTGATTCAGGATACAGTTCTACAGGCTCGGTAAATAGCCGTACCACGCGCAGTAGAATGCAACACGATGCGAGCCCGGTGGTAATGGGCGAGGGCGCCCCTTTCCGGAAAGCGAATAAGGGGTCTGAAAAGGTGGAGGGAGCTGAACCAGGTGTAAGGAGGAACAGGTCAATGGCAAGGAGCATGATAGCGGCTATCAAGAAGAGATGCTCATACGGGGACTTCAAAGTGGTACCTAAGGCGGAACCCGCTCCGGAATTGCCTACCAACAAACCTGCAGTCAAGGTCAAGAGATCACTATCTTTACTGAGGCGCCGAAGGAGCACATCAACAGTTGCCCAGGACCAGGATTCAACATTGGTCGTTCCGAGTCCTTTACCGGCAATCGAACCAGTTCCACCGCTACCAGCGAGGTTCGTTAATGCAGAACCTTTCGATCATCTCGTTGTGACCAATGGTCAAGACGTTCACGGTTTGCCAGGTAGACCCGGAACGGGTCACGGGGGGAAGGCAATAACCGACGGGAAAGAAAGGCAAAATGATTGTTCGACAGGCGTTGGGACACATAAGATCCCAAGGAGGGGAAGTAAGATCACAGGACAGGACTACTACCAAAGATTTTCTATTGTAGAAACTATTTCGTGAGGATGTTTATCAGATATCAACTGAAGAGGTGACTGCCATCGCCACTACACCGGGCTACAACTGCCCCCCACCCCTTTTCTTTTTTATAGTGATTTGCAGGGAAAAAATGGTTCTGCTCCTGGCGTACGGCGAAAGGATCTTTTAGTTTTCTTCTTTTCTCTTCTATTTCTCACCTCTCATCTTCTCCCTCCCACCAAGGTGTATATAATATACGGAGTTGTCCTTTAAATATTAAGTCCCTGTTTGGCACACCATAAACGATGACGTTTCCCTGACCTTTGTGGAATTTCTGTCGCGGATGAAATATTTTAACACTTCAAGAGACTTTTTTCTGGTTATTGCTCAACTTACAGGCCTCCGAATAGATTTTTGTTTTCATCACAGCAACAGGTAAGGTGGAGCTAAATTAGACTATGTTATGGCCTCCTTTATGCTCACTTGTCAAAAGGAATTTGAGTTTTCTAGAAAAATGGCTTTTTTCTATGGTGGCGTGCCAAATAGGGGCCTAACACTCTTTCATTTTTTCCCCGCATGCAAGCTCCTTCCCTATCCACTCGTTTGTCCACCAAAATCAATGATCGTATCCACAAGAAAAGGAAAAAGGAAAAAGGAAAAGGGAAAAAAAAGAAAAACCTTCCTTGAAGCACGACAGTTAGTAGAGAATTGGTCAGCAATACCATGCACGCACGCGCCATTAGAGAGTGTATATACTGTACAGTACTCCGTGATAGGATGAGTTAGCATCCCAACTGAAACCAGGTCACTTCGGCTCCCGACAAACAAGTAATCTACGGACATCCCATCTCGAGCTACAAAATAGCGTGCAGCATCCGAGGTGGAACCTCCCCAAGGTCTCACCGACCGCGAACGGTACCGTAAGGGATTTCCACCTCTCCGAGAGTGGTCGACGGTGGTTATCATCGACTCCACCGGGCAAAGAGGGGGGGGATCAAATGCACAAAAAGTCTTGGCGGGAGAGAGTGGGAAATTTTTTCCCACACAACTTTCCCATAATAAATAACTTTCAGTTGTCCGCTTTTAGCTCCACTTCAAGTTATTTGCCGCGGAAAGTGCCGCCGGGGGGGGGGGTTTGACAGAAGATTTTTGGTTGGGTGTGGGGTGTCTGGTATAAGTTTGTTTCTAACCCCTTCTCCCCTTTCTCCCTTCGTTCTACCACCTCCTTTTCTCGTCTACTCCATTTTCTACGATTACTCCTTAACTAGGCAACATGTCCCTCCAAGCAATCCTGTATACCCCCACTCCCCCAGCACTACAAATTCTCGATCAGCTAAAACTCCCCCATGAGTCGGTTTATGTCCCCATCTGCACATGCGAAGACGCCTACGATGCGATAAAACGTATGGTTGTGCGTGGTGCGCCCGCGATCGCGATTGTGGCTGCGTTGGCTTTGGCAGTTGAACTGAGCTCCGGAGGGCTGCCAAGTGAGGTCGGGGAGAGTGCAGGGGATGCGAGGGCGTATGTCCATAGGCGGTTGGATTACTTGGTCCAGTCACGGCCTACTGCGGTTAATTTGGCAGATGCGGCGGGGAAATTGAAGGCTGTTGTCAGCGCTGAAGCGGGGACCGCGGAGGCGGTAGTGGGGAGGTATGTCGAGGCTGCGGAGAAGATGCTGGTGGACGATGTCATGGACAACGAGAACATTGGAAGGTTTGGGGCCGAGTGGATTTTGGAAAATGCCAAAGTGGGAGAGGGGGAAGAGAAGGGGATGGTTGCGGTTCTGACCCATTGTAACACAGGGTTTGTTACTCCTTCCTCTTTATTGCTTTTTCGGAGGTGTTGGACAAAGTAGGGTGAGATAATGGGGGTGAAAATGATTATGGGTTGGAAATATCGTAGCTGAAGTATTGGGCCTTCCCCGTTTATTTATGTCATTAGTTCGCTTGCGACGGCTGGCTACGGCACTGCGTTGGGCATCATCCGCTCGCTGAACTCTCGTTCGAACCTGACGCACATTTACTGCACTGAGACCCGTCCTTACAACCAAGGCTCCCGATTGACGGCGTTCGAACTCGTTCACGATAAGATACCGGCAACATTGATTACAGACTCGATGGCATCCTCCCTCATGAGCCTCAAATCTATAGCGGCCGTTATCGTGGGTGCGGACCGTGTAGCTGCCAATGGTGACACAGCCAACAAAATTGGTACCTATCAGTTAGCAATTGTTGCCAAATATCACGGTGTCAAGTTTGTTGTGGCTGCGCCGACTACGAGCATCGATATGAAAACAGCTTCGGGCAAGGATATTGTCATCGAGCATAGGCCTGGAAAGGAAGTAACGGTCATTCGTGGTCCACTAGTGAAGAACGACACGGTTGGCATGGAGGTGGATTTGGAGAACGTGGAGACAGTGGCCACGGCAGCTAGGGGTATCAATGTCTATAACCCTAGCTTTGATGTGACTCCGAAAGGCTTGATCGATGCTATAGTTACCGAGAAGGGGGTTGCCGTCAAGGATGCGGGTGGTGATTTCGGTTTGTCGAGGTTCTTTTGAGGCGTACAAGGATAATAAGCGCGTTATTGGCTTAGAATGAATTGTATCAGCTTAACCAATTCCTTTCCCTTTGACCAGCTTTCAATCTCAAATCCGGTTGGCTTGAGTGACAGGTCGGTCAGTAATCGCTGAGGTTGAATAGTTGTACGGTATCCACTGTGAATGGTCAGGGGGTTTGTGCCGAGCTGATTTGCACACCCAGAGTATGCGCGAAGGAGGGGTTCTCCCCTGAAATACCCAATGGGCTGTTGTCAGGAACCGGAGCTTGTTATGAAAAGTGATCCACTGGGGCAGTACCAAAAGATAGTCCGGTACGTACAAAAGTCATGACATCAACAGGCCGTGCTATATTTTAATATCCGGCACGGTTCGAGTAGACCTGGGCAACAATCCACTCCACCACATTCCCTCGATAAGCGATAATCACTAAGCACGAAATGATAACCTGGCTTATCCAAGCTCCGCAAACAATGTTACTACCATTCCCGCCCGCCAAAAACCATTACACACGCTCATTGAGAATCCTTCGGAGCTTTCTCCACATCACCACCTTGCGGAGCATTTACCCCTGTCCCAAATGCACCACCACTAATGCTTCCCGAAGCATTAGTGTTGTCGGATTCAGGATGTTTGCCCTCATGCTCAGCTAGAAACGAGTCCAATTTGTGCTCGAGCGAATTCAACTGGTTTTCCAGGGTAGCTGCATGTTTCTCAGCTCTGCAAAAAGGAACCGGTCAGCGAAAATCACGTGTCCAACAAAATCTGATTTGGTTCGATACTCCATCAGGTCCCTGTAGGCCTGCAGTGGAGCGGCAAGCAACCGGGTTAGCAAACCTTTATTCGATTGGATACTGAGAGGGCAGGGAACAACGGCAGGTGGAAATACCTTTGCAAATTCAGCATCTTCGTCTTTCGAAGGCATAAGTATGGGAGTTGTTTTCCCAATAAAAGGACAGGGATATTGCAGGTGAGCTTGGAGAGATGGGGGTTGAAGTTTAAATTGATGGATGGATGGGTCGGAGGATAGTAGCGTGAGGCTTTGGTTGGTTGAGAGGACTAGACCCTTAGAAAAATTATCTAATTGGTGGAACTGAGCCTTAGATCTGATAAAGGATACTCAGCGAGCGGTAGGTTCAGCCTGAATTGTGCGGTTACCGGCTAACTGTCAGAGTTTCATGAGTTTTCCCAACCTCTGCCGTCATGAGCTTGTCCTCAAATACCACTAGATCCTCGTAACAAAAACCCTCGGATCCTGAAGTTCGGCTCTCCTGACACACGAAAAAAAAAAAGGAAAAAGGAAAGAAAAAAGAAAAAAAGAAAAGAAATTTCTTCATCAGCAAATACTCACAATAACAGATTTTTCACCCACCCCTTATTTTTCCTCTATTCTGGTACTGATCATCATTCAGAATCAATCCAGTTTGAGACAGCAGAGTGGGAAAAAAGAGGGAGATGCTGGTAGCGAGAAAAATAAGGAGGGGGGGTGAGGACATGATGGGAGAGAAGAGGAAAGGCAGGGGACGAGAAAGGAAAAAATAAAAATAAAATAGTGAGTGAACGAACAGTGTGAACGATACGAGTACCGGTACATGAGGGCTATGAAAAACTGCTACTCGAGTACTCGTACACCGGCCCTCTCGAAAATCTTCAGAGAAGTAAAACTCTCTTCCCGAGGGGTTTCATAGTGAGTGGCTGATCTCCCCGATTTTTTTTTTTTTTTTTTTAACTCTTTCCGCAAACTCAGCTTTCCAGTTTTCCGGGATTTATCAGGCTGGATGGCAAAAATAAAACATACAACAAAATGCCACGACAGCGGAGGAGTTCCTGGAAGCCCTCGGTATATATACCGTATTTTTATTATTTTCTGTGTACCGAATTTCTTAGAGAACACTCTTGACCGAACCCTGTGGAGAGAAAAAAAAAGGGCTCTCATGGTTTCGGGCGAATCCGTTTGAACCAGAAGGCGTCTGGGGCGTTTCTGACAAAGAGGACACCCCGATCTCGCTTGAGGGATGCGATCACTATTGATTTGACCCCTGCTGGTTGCTCTGAAGGAGTGTGATCGAATTTGGGGAAGGGCCGACATCGCGCCGCCATTGTTTGCTGACCGGCCCCATACAACTAAACTCTTCCACCGCCTTCCCCCCCTCCTTCCCTCCTCTTTCCATTCCCCCTGTTGAAGAGGATATGCCCGTACCCAATTCTGTGGACCTGGTGTCGGTGCGCGTCATAGTTATAGTTGTGCACGTATGGTGTGGTTGTGTGGCCGTGTATGTGGATGATACCGGTATGTGGGTGGACTACTGCATTGTGTGAGGTGCGTTGCGTCTCTGAGGTGCCGTACGGGTATCCAGTTCGAACACCCTTCTTCCAATTCCCATTGCCTAACTCCACTTCCACCCCAATTGTTTGTGTTCCCCCCCTTCCATTCTTAACAGCGGTATTTTTACTGTAATCGTTAATTTGCTGTGACTTTGGGAGTGTTGAAATATTGTCCCGTTAGGAGTTGCTGTAGGGGTGAGGGGCGGTAGCATCCAATCCTTTTTACCTTACCATTTTGTATAAGATTGACTGTCTAGATAGATAAATGTCCTTGGAACTTGTACCTATTCTGAATTCTCGTGCTGTTTCTTTTTGACAGTACCGTACCGGTACTTCTATTGACCAACCTGCATGTTGTTTTCCGAAATCGAAGGTTCAAACAGGTCCGGGCACTGGGGCAGGATTCGATCCATAAAAATTTATTGTTTTTTTTTTTTTTTTCGTGGGGCGTGCGTGTGGTGGAGTCGAGGTTGTCCTTTTGCCTGTCGCAAGGAAGCACTCTTCTTCGGGAGGTCTCTTCAAATAAAAACTAAGCCCTCCGCAGCTCCCCCAACGTCATAGTGCATTTGTCGGACAGAAAACAGGGCAACAACAATCAACGCCCCCTTTGGGAGACCACCGTCTGTGACCATGCCCAGGATAATTTTGCACGAGTATCCTTTCAACTATGATATGTTCCCCCCATAAGCCTCCCCCCCTTGGTTCACCCGTGAGCCGGAACGGCAACACCGAGAAAGAAGCACCTGGCAAAGCACAGCACCGTACGAGTACAGTACCATACATGTACGAGACGTATGTATGTTACAGTAATTAGCATGTAACTATGCCAATTGCAATTCCAGCGACAGAGGGGCAGCTGGCTGTTATTTATGTGTCTCGGTAGGTCCCCCCCCCTTCTTTCCAAGCAATGGAGTGAAGTTGGGGCCTTCCTTCTCTTCCAGTGGGCTTGTTTGGAACTGAGGAACTAGAGAAGGAAAGTGAGGAAGAAAGAAAAAAAAAAAGTAGGTAGCCAGGGACAAGTCAACTAAGGAAGGCGTCGTGCACAACAGGACGAAGCATCCCCCATCGCCCATCATCCCCGTCAACTGTAACGTCATTCGACATACTCCCGCTTTCTAGTCACTTTCTTCAGACTGCCGGTTGCACCAGGTTAGACCGGTTAAGCCTGTCCGCAAGACGTCGTTTCTTTCTTCTGTCATCGAAAAGAAGGAAAAAAATAAATGAGAAAAGAGAGGCCCTGCTTGTTGCCCCAACTGAGTGGAGTGCCTGAGTGTCTAAAAGGGACAGGCTGAGAGAAGAGGGGTTTTGAGCGGTGGAACATCATTGGCATCATATTGCAGCAACTCCAAGCAGCTTCAGAGGCATCACCGGTGGTGGAGGCAACTCAGTAAACAGGAAGAACCCGCTACCTTCTCCGTCAGTTGATCTTTTGGCCCTGAGTGGCATGTTCTCGCCGCGCTAGGGACAGGGAGAAAATACTTTCCAATCTTTTGGAGGCAGCATCAGCAGCCCCTTGGAGCCACTCTACCTTTGCCTTCCTATCACCCACTCCCTCACTCACTCGTTCTCACTTCACATTGCTTATACCATGCTCCCTTCTATCCATTCCAACATGCACACCAGTGGAGGTATATTCTAGTATTGTGCACTGTCCACCCCAGCTGTGGGCGTACGTATCGGAGATACAGTCTACACATGCCGATAAACATCCGACGTACACTACACCATTCGCATACATCCACTACCGGTATTCACTTACGCATTTCCACAGACAACCAGGCCATCCGTAACCCGCATTCCAACCCACACCTTCACTTCGCCCTCCCCCCCACTATCGGCGACCCATTAACCCCTTCTCTTTCTCAAACTCTCTCCCCTCGCGTGCTCGGTTGTCACACTTGTCCTTTTCTAAGGGTTTACCGCTAGGATATCGTCATTTCATCTTCCTTTTCAGGCACATAGATGACTTTTGGCCTACACCAAACGGCATCACTCCTTCCGAACACACAGATTTTCTTATCATTTTCTGCAACACGGTCTACATCAAAGGAAACCCCCGATTCTCTTACACTCCCTTGACACTGCCGTCATTTCGGGTGATCACCCTTACAAAATTCGATCCACGGGACCCTTTGAACAATTTGCTTTGCTATGTGCGTGGAGGACGGGTCTGGTTCTGATATCGCCGCCGCGAACTCTCACCGCCAGTGACTTCCTTAACCAGTTTCGACCATCCCCTTCTCCCCTCAAATAATTATTCCAAATCTGAAAGCGGCACTCCCTTTTCGTGTTTTTCTTACGGGTGGGGATCGAGGACTCGAGGTCGTACCCATCCCTTTTGGTATTTTATTTTTTTAACTGTGGGAATTTTCCTACTTTCGTAATTTGGGCACCTGCTTGACCGTATTCGGTTTAGCTACACCGAGTTTCGTGTCAGTTATTGTTGACCCTCCAGAAAGAGTTTTGGTGTCATTTGGCGCTGCATTGGCTCCCCGAAGATAGTTTGCCGTGCGCCGATTAACGCGGCGGGCGCCACTTAGTTGGGCTGTCTGGTAGATCTCTACAATTGTGTCCTCTTCCATCAGAGCCGAATCCCACACCCTGGGTTTCCAGATACCGCACTTAACGAAATTTCTTCAGATTAAAACGCCTTCAATCTTGCAGCCATACTTCTCTACCCTATAGACAACTTTAGCCACCCTGGGGCTAGACCCGCCTCCCTCCCCTTCGTTTTTTAATTGGATTGGAGAGGGAGAGCGGCCCAACGCTTCAATTTCGACAAGATTTTTTTTTTATTAGTCTGGGGCTTTTGTTATGGTCTGGGCTTGTTCGTACACATCGACTGCGTTCCTGCAACATCGACAGCTTGAACGTTGGCGACCCAGCTGCACTTTTATCGGTTTCCATCCCTGAGCCGAACTCATCAACATACACCGCTACTGTTGTGGTAAAGAGACATAGTAGCAGGAGAGTCTCTGGGTGTCCGGTAACTTTGATATACCATCTGGGGAAATCCCTCTTTCTCGGAGGTTATTTCGCCCAGGTGATAAACAGTTGTGTATATGACAGATCTGGAGGAGGTGTTGGCTCGACTGGGACTCTCCCAGTACCTAGGGCGGCTTAGTGAAGAGGGATTTGAAAAATGGGAGGCTGTAATGGACATTACAGAACAGGACCTGTGAGATATCCCCTCATCCCGTTTTAATATTTTCTGTGCAGGGTTTTCTAACTGTAGCCCTTTAGAGCTTTCCTAAATTTCAAGTTAGGTCATCGAAGAGTAAGATAATATTCTTGTATAACCATTCCCCTTTGATGGTTATTTTTTGGCGCTACCTTGCTCCCTTCCCGTCTTGCTGCTCTCTTTTGCTCCTTTTTTCTATGCAGAATTTTGATGCCGACACGCACATGTATTTTTTTTCCCTTCTTTTCCCGGAGGCGATGGTAACAGAGAAAATAGAGTGGTGCAGTCACTGACCTTGTTTCCAACGCCAGCTGTTGCAACGGGAGATTGCGAGCGCGAGAGGGGTTCCACCAACGCAAGCATTGACATCCGTCCACAACTATCCTTCTGACGACATTGAGCCTGAGGACAGGTCATCGCCAAAACCCTTTAAGCAGGATTCTGGAAAAGGTATTGCACCCACAGGAAAAAGAAAGTACAGACGCCATCCAAAGGTACCACTGCACAGAGCAAAGGACTCCCAAATCCCAGCATCAGAAAAACTGTTTGCTAACGTTGTGCCGGATGCAAGCCTGATGAACATGCGCCGGAGAAGCCTCCTTCCGCGTATGTCATGTTTGCAAACCGTGAGCAATCCTTTAGTAGAACCGGATGACGATGTCCTGCATCTGGATACTGACCTTCAGTTCAGGCGTTCGAGATGAACTCAAAGGGCAAAATTTATCATTCACGGATATCGCGAAGCTTGTTGGCGAAAAGTGGAAAGTTCTGGATCCGGAGAACAAGGAATCATATGAGCATGAAGCCTCGATCGCCAAGGAGAAGTACAACTCGGAGCTGCTAGAGTACAAAAAGACAGACAGCTACAAAGAATACATCCAGTATCTCTCAGACTTCAAATCCAAAGCGAGCAAAGAAGGTAGGGAAGGGAGCGGTAAGATCCACGAGACTTCCGACCTTTCCGCCGCTGCTCACTCTCCCACAGAACAAGCCGAAGCCAACCGGAAGAGGCCAAAGCTTGAGAGCGTTTCAACTACTAGCGCTATGGGGTCTACTATCACTAGCAATTCAGTTAGTATGGCGGCCGGGATAAATGCGACCGCACCTCCTGTGCTCGCGCTTGGTAGAGGAAGTGGTCCTACCGGTTCGGGTACGGCTACATCTTCTGATCAAAGTGCCTATACATCCCCTTCTAGCCATGACTCGGGCACCCAATCTATGACACCCTCGACATCGAGGGCGTATCCGGTTTCACCCGTGCGCCGTTCCAGGTCGCCATCTGATGTTGCGCGATACAGAGACGCCGTCTTGAGGTCCACCCAACAGCAACAGCAGGAGGCATTTGTTGCACCCACAACTGAGCCCGAGTCTCCTTTCTTTACCCGAATTCATCCTACTATCCAAAGCCCCCACATTCAACAGCAATCTTCATTCATGAGGCATCAACCGCCTCCACTGGGCGCCCAACCTATATCCAGGACAGGGCCGCCTATGCCGAGTCCTGCGATGAGAAGGGCTAGCTTACGGTCCGACGAAACACTGCCTCCTACTCCGGCTTCCATGAGTAGCGGGAGTTCCTCGGCACCCTCATTAACACCCTCTGTTTCTTCTTCCTTCGATGACGGCGGCCGCTCCCACCGCGCACTTCCTTCCCTACCCCCACCTACCCCTGGGCCCTCTGCTGGGACCGGATATTTTGACCAGAAGTCGCATCGACCTTCTGCACCGCCCACACGTTCACCCCGCACTTACCAGCAGAGTCTTCCCCCGCCGCCAACTCCAGCGAGCATATCACCGTTCCATGGCCACCAGGCCGCAAGCTCTCATGCGTCGTCGACCCCGGGTCAATTGGGGTCAGAAAATATGAATACTTCAGTTGGAGCAAGCGCAGGAGGTATAAACCCATCTCCTCCCCAGTCCAAACCACCATCTCAGCTGTGACTCACTGCGCGGCGTGGCGAATGCAAAGCTCTGGGACTCCAAGCTACAATTACGGGAAGCCATGCGCACGCCTCGTTTGCGTAATGGCATCTACACCACCAAAACGATATATCTTCAACACATTTTAATCAAAGCCAAGGGGTATCCACCTGATACAGAGCTCGTCTCGCCTTTTGCGGAGAGGCTGGTCTCCTTTCTAACCTTATCCTCACATCGCAGCATCTCATTATTCCCATTGCATTTTTCCCCCACCACTGTCTTCCACGCGCTGTTTTGGGCGTGGGCTTCTCCTCACACGGGCGTTAACCAAGCATCTATTGTTGACTACGAACAATTCTTGTAAAATTGACCTTTCATCCTTTTCTTTCCCACATTGGTACAAAGCGTTTATATCATGCCCTCTTTTTTATACTCTATTCCCTCCTCTCCAACTTCGTGTAATTCGATTTTACCATTTTTTTCCTTCCCTTTTCTTTTCTTTTCACTATCCATAGGGAATTAGAGTAAAAAAAGGCTATGCCAAGCGAGCAAGCGAGAATATCCATGACTTCCTCGCTCCCTCGGTAAGGCGGTGGAAGCGACAGCAGCACACCGGTGTATTGCGACTCTAGAAACTCTTGAGGAACGAGAGGGGGTTGAGAAAAAAAACGTTCTTTGTGTCTTAGACACATCTCAGGCCATAATGATGGCATTATGTCTAGATTAAGCAGTGATCGCTGGGATTACTGTTGGTTTTCAAGGTCAGCTGTTGGCTTTTGACGGGCAGAATGGCCTTTGGGACAAGCCTTCGCCCCGAGTGGCACACATGCCTCCTCTTGTCAATCCCGAAAAACGATAACATCTACCCAAGACATAAAATAGTGATAGGGGAGAAAGTTAGGTTTCTCTCATTCCTCAAGTCTCAATAAATAAATAAATAAAATATCAATAAATAAGCTACAGTGATCTCACGCCCCATTTCGAGGAAAAATCCTAAAAATTATTTAGTCACGAGATCACTTATTCCTACGATACAATATTGGTAATCCTTACCACCCCCCTCCCCTCTCCCGCGACCTTATCTCCGCCATCTTTCACCCGCCACTTGCGCCTTAGACTGTCTCACTTTGAACCTGACTGACGTTAAGATAGGGTTTAGCCGAAGAAGAAGAAGAAAAAAGGAAAAAGGAAAAGAAGAAAAAAAAAGTTCCACAACTGTTACTGGACAATGTACTTGTATAATAATCACCATGAAACGGATTAATGTGGTAAGGTTTGCCGGGGGATGAACTATTGTATGGCATGATAACTACGGTAGTAGGGGAAAAGTGTATGGGCAAAAGTGTCGGTGATTGGGCACACTTTACGGTACCCACCTACACTTGACCAACGTAGGCAGAGGAGGAACCTTTCACGAAACCACCACCCAAGTATCATAGTTGCAAATGCTCGTGGAGATCCTTCACCTCTTTAGATGGTCATTCATCCATCAGGCCACACAGATCATTGAATATCGGGAGCATTGTCGTGAGGCATCAACTGGGCCCACAAAACCGATTATGATACAACGTGCGAGGCTTAGGCAATGGTAGAGTACGGTGGTAGGACCTTCAATCGGCGGCATACTGGTACTTCACGAGAAGCTGCGCACGCACGAAATGACACGAACTATAGGAACCCCGCAAGAAGGAGATGCAGCTCCCAACGGGGGAGGGGCACAACCACACCAAGACTTTTTTGTCCACCCGCACCACCACCACCGGAGTAAAAGCGCCCCATCACCGCCCCAACGAAAACACCAATGGCCCAAGAGAATTTGAAGCGCACCGCAAATCCCCACGGACCGTTGTGAACACCGCAGATGTCCGGAATGCGCAAAACCGTGAAGAAGAAAATAGAGGAAAAAAGAAAAAAGAAAAAAGAAAGTGAGTTGCAGGAGGGGGAGGGAGGGGGGTATGATGCCCGGTGCCATGTACTGTACCTGACATTTTTTGTGGAGCCCCAATTGAAACTAGAGTCACTTTCGAACCGGCCCGTGCGATTGTGGATTATGTGCGGAATTGCTTCACTCCTTGTTCGCGCCCCTGGGTCAAAAATGCGAAGCGATTTTTAATTTTTTTATTCTTTACCGTACCTGGGTAATAACCTGTGTTTTCGTTTTGGGGGTTTCCATTTTTTCGCCTGATTTAAACTTAGTGTGGATTGAAGTGTTGAATGGAATCTTTCATTTTTATTTTTCAAGAAAGAATGAAGGAATTTCTGCTCGGGCGGGGACGGTCTTGTTTTTGTTGTGTTCCGGCCCCTTTGCATCTCTACCGTATTGCATTGTTGTGTGTTCCGGCGGAGGGGGTGGCTATTCCCCACCACCGGTCCTTGGGTGGGGGCGGTGTCACGCCGCGCCACGCCATGTCACGCGACGCATCAGGGATCACTCGGATATCGTGGCGTATATCTCGTGCGCAGTTTTGGAACGGGGATTTACCTCAAAAACCTCACTCTAGCACATTGCGATCACCTCTCCTGGCAAGGCGCACTTGCTGCTTCTCCTCGGTCTTAGGCTGGGGCTGAAGGGATTGGTTTTCACGATGCTTTCATCTCCCCCCCGCCCTCTTATCCAATGGAGCGGATTTTGGACGTCTTAGTGCGAGGTTCAAATTGTTCGAGTTCTTGCAATGTGTGCGGTCTAGTGGCGGGGTGGGGAGATTGCCCTTTTCGGCTTAGGAAGTGTCTTTTTTCCTGCGGCGCCGTACCGTATTGGTTGCGTTGGCTTCTGGGTGGGTGGGCGGCCCTGGGCCCGGATTAACTGCGGCTCCTCCTTGATGAAAGGTTTACCAGGTTTTGCTTGGATGGAGCTTTTTTTTTTCTGCCTTGTACCACGTATGATACAGCACGTGACGTGTTGCCGCCTGGTCTTTTGAGAGCGAGCATTGGGGTGTTCCTGAGGAGGCTTTCAATTTGGTCGGCGGAAATGGGGGGAGAAGAAAGAAAGGGCACCACACCTGAGTACGGTACTGTACCGGTACTATAGTACCGGCAAAACTGCCCCAAGGCTGTGGGTTTACTTGCCCAGGTTGTATAGTCTACCGGGATTAGATATCAGATGATCCACCAGACGGAAAAACCAATGGCGGAACGTGGTACGGTATCATGGAATCTACGTGTCAGAGCCCCGCAACGTGAGGCGAGGCGGGATATCCCTCGACCAAACCGCTCTGCGCTCCGCCAAGTTGGGGATCCTCGTGGGGCGGTGGGTTGGGTATTATATTCCCTGGAGGCTTTGTCCGACCTTCTCTATATATCTTCGATAGAAATTTATAATGCTCTTGCTCTGCCGAATCCCTACCAATACCACTTTCTAGTCGATCGCTCTCTCGCTATTGGTGGCGTGAGAGAGGCCTTGCGCGACTGGCTTATAAATGTACCATCGTACTCGTATCGTATTGTGCGAGGGAAATCTTCCATTCTTGCTATGCCTTGCGAGGTGTTGGTGTCGGTTTCGGTCAAGATCAGTGGGACAGCGCAACCGGCTCTGGAAGTGCAAACCTTCCATTACTCAACAAGAGATACCTGGAAAAGTGACATTCCTTAGATAAGTGGCTTGGATTAGAGTTTTTATACCTCATCCATCAGTGATATTTCTCGGAAGTTGAGAGAGGAGGTGGGGAATACTGGAGTAGAGATCCTTGTAGGATCATTTTTCTTGCACACTGCCACAAATGTACTGAAATTTTAGTTTTGCACTTCTTATTTCCCGACCCTTGCACTTTTAATCGTACTCGAGTACCGTACTGTAGGTTCTATCATACACGATATCCCAGTGCTGGCTCTTTACCGCGGGATAATCCGCAGCGAATGGAAACCCCGGGAGCAAACCTGTTGTCAAAAAAAAAGAAAAAAAAAAAAGCAGAAAGGAAAATGAAACAACCAGATCAAATGAGCGACCCACCGGTTTAGATGCCAAGCTCACTGTCTGTGCCCTGACTGGAATTGCCTGCTGTGGATACGACATATCTGATATCGTGGAGCGTTTATCACCTGACTATTACTGATTGCTCACTCCATCGAGGTGCGTGGATAGATAGATAGGATGCTTGAAGGCTTACACTACTCTTTTGCCGGACTTCCTGATTGGCTTTACTCATCCACAGGTTCGATCGGTTGTCTGTCGGGCGGGCGGGCGGACGGGCGGATGGGGTTAGGTATTTGGTTACTTCCTGTCGTATCTGAAAGTTGGGTGATAGATGTACTGGAGGAGGGTTATTATTCCCTCCAGGAGAGCATCAAGGATGGGGATGGAGCGAGGGGTCACCCTATTTGTTTTGCGGGAGATGGGGGTTGGCCCGTGTGTCGGTGTTTTTCTAAGATACTCTACCTGGCCAGCAGGGGTTTGTGCAGGTTGGGAGAGATGGCGGTAGACTTTAGAGAGGGCGATTGGGTGTGATATCGTATTGGTGAGCGGAGAATATTTCGGCGTGCATGGCTGGGATTTTATTCGCGGTACTGGTGGCCTAGTGTTAGTAGTGTAGCGGGACAGGGGAGGCGCAGGGAACTGAACCGAATAGGGTCCCGTTTGACGCTCCAGAAAAATGGCGTTTTCCTGACTTTTTTGTCATTTCTGCCGTAAATGAAATATTTTAGCATTGAAAATTTTTGGCTATTGCTCCACTTACAGGCCTCCGGCCCGGTTTTTGTTTCTACTCCAATGGCCTGGGAGGCTGCCACTACCTGGATATGGGTTTATTGAGCTCTTTGGTCAAAGGGATTCGAATTTTAGCAAATGTCAGGTTTTGAAGGAGAATGGCATTTTTTTATATGCAAAATAGTGCCTGAGAACAAAAAAAATTTCCAGTAGCTGAAAGGCGAACATGACTTCCACGACATAGCTATAGACACCGAAGTATACGAAAGCGAAGAACCAAACTCCCCATAACTCCCCAAGAAGAATGCACCATCCTCACATCCCATTCTCACTAAACATGCGGAAGACAAAATCAAATCCACCCCCCCGAGCTCAGTTTCCCCCCTGCCCCTCGTTCGCACTAGCATTCGCATCCTTTACTTCATACTTAGCCCACTTTTTCTCCAACCTCTGATCCCTAACCTTCTTCACCCAGTCAAACATCCTCCCGCCGGGAACGCACTGCCAGAAGATAATATAGAGCAGCAAGAACGTGCCCAGAATAGAGCCCACGATCACGAGCACGGTCTTCCAGCTCAAGGAGCCGGAGGATAGTCCTGTGCCTCCGCCTCCTCCTCCACCGGAGCGACCACCACCACCGCCTTTGCGTTTTGATAGGGGGTGGGCTATTGTTGTTGTGATTTGTAGGAGGAGGAAGATAAGGAGGGAGACGATGCGTGGCATCATCGTTGTGTGAAGGTTTATGTAGCTTAGGGGGGGAAGTCTTTTTGTGGCGGTGTAAGGGGTGGGTAGGTAGGTAGGTAGGTATCTCAATTGGTGTTTATATAACGAAGGTAGGTAGATATATTCGGGGTACTGTGTGCTGCTAGAATTGTAGCGCTGAGGTCCCGGTAGCGATAGTAGCGAGTGACACCCCATGGTAATACCGAATCTTCAGGACCTCTTTATATGCTCCTCTCCCCCCTCGCCCACCAGCGCCTTCCGGGCTTGTCGTCCGGGACTGCCCGTTGTGACTGTCCCTATCCAACTCACCGCATCGGCAGGCCAAGCAAGGCGTGATCTGTTCTCAGTCCGCCTGCCACGGGGGAATGCTTGAGAGCCAGAGAGTGGGATTAGGTCTAGTGACGATCGAATAGAATATACTTTTAAGGTAAGCGTAGCATGCAAAGTATTGCACTTCTAAGCCCTGGGAGGTAGCGAGCTTTTGTCAGATTAGCAGAGTCATTACGGTAGGCTAACAGCACGCACCGAGTCTCGATGCACCGCAAGTGCTCGGGGACCGGTCAAAGAGAAATGTGCTATGCCGTTGAAATTCCCTACGGTATCTGGGAGAGGGGTATGCATATCACCGCAGACTCAGCCTCTCGGCTGAGACAAGAAAAAAGAAAAAAAAACATTGCCTTATGATACTCGAGTACGAGTACAAGGAGAGCCAATTGCAACGCCCTGAGAGGTGTTCGATAACGGGGGCAGTGAGTTTTCAGGAGCTTGGACACGCGAAAAATTTTCGACATATATTTTGCGGATCCCTGTTTATGGTGCTTCTTGCCTGAGATGATACGAGCACCGGTAGTCTATCGGTATTCGAGTATCGATATGGTGCCGGCACTTGGATCGGCTCTCAGTCCCATTCACGGCCAGTACACTAGTCCTAATGCAGTATGTAAGCTTACCGCTCCAGGCAATAGAACGGCGCATTTCTTGGCCAAACCCTTTCCTTCCACCCAGATTTTGCCTCAATTTTGACAACCATCAGAGATGTAACCACTCTCCCAGGGCGAAATCTGCTCTGTAAATGAGTTCTTTACATGGTCTGGGACCATTTTACTGAAGTAGCAAGTAAAAAAAAAAAATGGCATGCAAATCCTGTTATTTGTTGGAGAGGTGGGGGAATTCTGGCAGTCATGAAGGTCGGTTCTAGGACGGCGGCACCCTACCTGCGGAAAAGTGTTGAAAACAAAAAAAGAGAAGATAAATTCGCTCGTGAAGTGTTAACGGTAGGAGGGAGAATAGAACTGAACGAGTACCAGTATTGTGAGAGACCTCTTGTATAAGGTGGCGAGGGGGGCGTTGTTCTTCTCAGGATACAGTGCAAACCACCGGGCTTATATACATGATGGAGACCCCACTCCATGCCTCTCATATCGGGACCACGTCCTCTGGTCGTAATTGATTGCGTGGCAATCCTCAAGCCCGACAGTGTCATACTAGAGAGGCTCGAAGTTCTCGGTATGGTTCCAGAAAATTGGAATAAACACTCTGGGCATCTTTGATCCGATGACCATGCGGGAATTTGAAAATTAAAATTAAGTTATTTGGAGGGATCGAAATTATCATGGTATGATAATTATTAATAATATTATAGACTAATATATTTTCTCATAAATGACTAAAATATATATTGTAGTTATCTATATAAGAAGTTTGAACTATTCCAATAAGTGTAAAGCGATCAAGCACCTCCCGCAAAATTCTTTCAAGTTCTCCCATCTATGTATGTGGTTTATGTATGTGGTTTATTGTCCGAGATATCAAACTCACAAAACTTGGAAGTTCCACAAGTGATGCCTACTCTGTGGACCATAGTATACAATACTGGTCATATCATAATAAGACGAATTATTGGATTTGAGTCAGGCAAAAGGGGTTAACCGGATAGTTTGAGTAATAACGGTTGTTGTAGTTTAAATCTATCAATAATTTTAATATTCCTGTACCCTAAACCCTATTTACTCATTGAATATCACTCATATTTAGTTTTTCCGCCAATTCCATATCTGCATCTGCTTGCATGTTTCAACCAATACTCCTATAACAGGAGCAGCCCATTTGGTTATTTACCCTAAAAAATTCTAGATAATCGTTTTGCGGACCGCTTTTACAGAATCTTAAGTCAATGGGAGTTGGACGTGAGTATCCATTCCTATTGTGTCTCTTTTGGTAGTCAAGTAATGGTCCAAACCCATCCCCTGAACAATCCTCCGCTAGAAAAACATCGCGAGTGAGAGTTGGTGAAAGAAGTCTGGATAGGGTTAGGTTTAGAGACTGAATTGACCTCTCTTTACAAGTGCCCGAATTCGTACCATACAACATAATAATTATGATACCTTGACAACCAGATATCCCGCAACAACCAACCAACGGACAGCAAAACAAAGTAGAAAAAAAAACCCAATGTTTCGCAGACCCCTTACCCTCCTCCACCGCTTACCCCAGCGCCTCCCACGCATCGCCACCCCCCCGCTCACCAGGTACCTACTCCTCCGCTCCAGTCTCCCGCCTCCAAACTAATTTCGAAAGCAGAACCATAATAACAAAGACTACCCCTCTCCGCCCGTCTACCATCTCCTTCACCCCAGCTGGCCTGGCCACCCCCGTCCCTACCTCGACGGGGGTGGGATTGGCCGTGACGGCACCGTTGATGCTAAAGATAAGTTCAAACCCCGGGCTCGTGGGGCTGCAGGTGCGCTGTGGGCCGCGGGATACCTATAATCCGAGCCATCGAGTGCGGAAGAGGCGGTTGGGCTTTTTGGCGAGGAAGCGGACGCCCGGTGGACGGGGGGTACTGAGAAGGAGGAGGTTGAAGGGGAGGAAGAGTTTGACGCATTAGGGGGAGTGGGGGGAGTTGGTATTGGTGTATGAACGGATGGATGGAGATAAATGTTTTATGCAATATACATAGCTACTTTATTTTTCACAGCCCACTAGTCACCTTTTTTCTCCCCCTCTCCCACATACACATTCTCTCTATCTATACAAACAATACAATTCCCTCTATTTATTCATGGGCGCTCTAGCCACACCCTTCTTCGGAAATCTATCCTGCACGACCATCCAATCGATATGCTTCCACCACGCCTCCAAGTAATTGTCCTTCCCAAGTATGCCAAAGTCCTCTAGCCAGGCGTGTTCCCACACATTCACGTTGAGCACGGGAAAAACCCATCCACCGGTCTTCCCCTTGGCCGCGTTTCTGATGGCGCTGGTGTAGGGCGGCAACTCGCTGCCGAGTCTAAGTCCGGTGTTCATGTCCGTGTCCTGACGACGGTACGAGGCGCCGTAGGGTGTTCCGGCGTTGTATGTACACAGGATGCGCAGGCTGCCGGCTTGGTCCAGAACGAGCCAAACGTACCCATTGCCGAACATAGCGTTGGCCGTCGCGAAGAGTTCGGCTTTTAGAGCATCGACGCTAACGAAGGTGGAGATTACGTAGGCTTTGAATTGGGCGGTTATCTCTTCTTGATCACTGCGCTTTTTTTTTTTTTTGTGGATTGTAAGCCTGAGGTTGCTGTAGGGAAGGAGGGAGCTTGGGGGAGATTTACTAAGCTCTGGAAGAAGAAATGATTGTTATAGGCTTGTGATGCATAATTAAAGATTGAGGCCTGATCTGGTTGTCGGGCTGTCGCGATAGCAATATCCATTGTGTCCATTCCATCGAACTCCCTGCCTAATATCTCCCGTTAGAATACCGCTATCCTCACTCTCCCCCTCCCCATCTACTTGGCGGAACGGGAAGCAATTCCTACCTGCTGTGACACTGCCGAGTTTTTCCACCAGATGCTTCTGGTAATCTGTCCATGCTGTCTTGAACGCCTTTTCTGAGAAGAGTCCCGGGACCCCTTTTTCCGTTAAGGAAATGACTGGCATTGAGTGAACAGAACGAGGTTTGTGGAGGGTTGGCGGTTTCCTCTGATAATATGTTAGTTTCGGTTTCCTGCGTTACGATTGGAGGAAGGGATCGTAACGGTCAATGGGGGAAAGGCTCGCAGGGCCTGCCGCCGTAATGTCAAAGGGACCGACATAGTGGGATGCTGGTTGAATGCAATGTTGAAGATGTGAAAGAGGAAGTGGCCCTGAACAAAGAGATGGGGGGGTTGGTCAAGGGTTAACCGGATTGTAGCCGCAAGAACCCCAATGGATCATCAACTTTTGAAGGTTGGTGGATTGTATGATAGATTTTATTTTATCTTCCCACGATTCTCGGGATCAGCACATTTTTTGGGCGTCATGGGCATGATACTTTGGGCGGAATTTCAAAAATGTGCAAATTTTCCGCCTCAAGTGGCTTTTGAGGCTAAACCAAAAGGGAATTCTATGATAGGAACTCGAGTTTCCTCCACCAACGTCGCAAGAACCTCGTTTTCCCGCACCCATGCTTCCCCTTCGCGAACTCCTAGGAACGAAAAACGGTATCACAGTCTCCACCATCCCCGACTATCACTTGCGGGAAACGTTCTACTCGAATGGAATCGTCGGACCCGAAATCCATCAGGAGAGCGATCTGGTCTGGCTCCATTCCTTGCAAAATCTTACTGGACCCCGGAGAGTCCCGAGTTTTTGACGCTTCGGACCCGTACTATGTATGCCCCGCGGCCGCAACCCCTCCCCTACCGTCCAACATACTTACCTACCTGTAACGACAGATAATAATACCGCGGATCGCATACCTACCCTTCTTCACAGAACGGATATGCAACTTCTTCCGACCGTTCGTGATAGACCCGGAGGTCGCAAAACCGGAGTCCGCATGGTTTGAGTTTGAGAGTGTTCCGATGAAATGGTTGGTTAGGCCCTTTGTCTAATATTTGCTTATACTAGCTTACGATGCGGGTTGCGAGCTTTAAGGCACTGGCCTGTTGGTCTTCTGTATGACCTGTTTACCGGACGTGATCCGGCTGCTAATAATGTTGAAGAGGACGACGAGCATTTGCTCCCTTGGACATTAATAGTTCACTTCCGAGATTATCCCGCAAAACATTTGATGCGATTAGAGGGTCCGGCGACTTGTTATGATTCGTGGATGAATACAGTTAAGGAGGTTGGTCTAGCCCCACTCGTTCACTCGTCAATAGGGTGGGTTACCAGTACTGAGCCACAACATCAACAGGCAGACCACGTCCGGAATGGAAGTGCCAAAGCGGTCATGAGCTTATCGAAAGCAGAATCAACCAAGCTTTGGGATTCATTACAGTCACGTTGGTCCCCTACGGTGGAATTTTAGAGGACGTGTTTTTCTGACGGGGTTTGGATCAGATGACTTCGATCAATTCTGGAGCGTCAACGACAAATTAGTCTCAGTACAGGCCCGTAATATCCCTCTAAGGTTATATGTTCCTTCTGCACCACGGGTGGTGCAGCAACCAGTACCTCCGGATTTGCCATCTCGTTTGTTAACCAATCCCCCATGCTTCGATTTCTACTTCGCTTCCGGCAACCAGAAGCTGGCTCTCTAGTGATACCGCTGACTTAGATATTTGCCATCACAGAAGAACCTCAAACAGTCGGTACAGCATTACGCACACTTCTTCCTGAACTTTTCCCCAGTCAAAGAGTGCCAGTTCTTGCAAGACCTGTAGTCCACGGAGTCGTTGTCGCAATGGGTACCCCATTATTGGAATTGATGCGAGAGGCAGTCTATCCGGACGGATTTCTACATATATCCTTAGCCATGATGTCCTAGGATTCGATCGGTGTGCAGCTACATTGTCTGGTGGGGTACCAGTACACCTACTTGTAGCAATTCTTGTTGTTCGGGAAGGTCAGGCGTTTCTGGTGTTTTTAAAGGTGAGACCTGCAATTTTGTGGGGAAAAGGAAATATCGTGGTAAAACCTCATCTCTGTCGTGAATTTTACACAAGAGCCTTCTTTAGAGTTTATATTAGGCAATGCGACAAAATTAGTTTTGGGGCACACGTTTTGCATTATACCAAGTGATTTTCTGGTCCGTTCTGGTCACTAAATCGTTCAATACTGTAGCATAGGTGTTCCAACAACTATGGTACCTTGCTTCATATCGGGTTCTTTGCAACCACTGTGTCATGGACCATGCCCTGGGCTAAGTTGCATTAGGCCCTGTAGCTTTTTTCACCTCCGAAATAATGCAAATAATCCCAAACCTCTCTGGGGTAAAGCATGATAGATTAAATTTAATCAAAGCAAGACTGCTAAACCTCTACCAGATTCCTCAAGAGAACAAATCCGGCCGGCCTCCCCCCAAAACCACTGTAAGCCAACTTAAAATGGGGGGAGTTGACAGCCCCACTCCCGACCCCACACATGTTCCCCCCTCGCCCACCCAACTGCTTCTCTAAAAGAAGCTTACCTGAACCTCTA